GAGCTGTTGTGATAGCGTCAACGTTACCATTGTCGACGTGAACATCACCATCTTGATTATTTCTACCATTTCCACTAGCGGATGTCATTTTGTACGTTAGCAACACCAACGCCCCATGATAAAAATACACAAAAAACAAAAACCCGTCATCATCGACGACGCACGTCCACACTGAGGCACAATTGCAGGCTACTACTGAAAAAGGAAGTCATCGAGTTATAGCTAAAGGTTGGCGAACAAAAAACAAACATGTGACCAAGATACGTCACAGTGGATTTTGCTTGGTCGATATTACTGAATATTACTCTGGTTGGTTGGTTCTTTAACGCCGCACTCAGCAATATTCCAACTATATGGCGGAGGTCAGTAAATATCGAGTCTGGACCAGACAATCCAGTGATTAACAGCATGAGCATCGTTCTACGCAATTGGGATACAATGACATGTGTCAACCAAGTCAGCGAGCCTGACCACCCGATCCCGTTAGTCGCCTCTTACGACAAGCATGGGTTACTGAAGACTAGTTCTAACCTGGATCTTCACGGGTCGAATATTACTCTGTACTAAATGGCCCTGACTCTCAGTCAATCCTGACGAGGAGCGAGGAATGCTTCCTCCGAATTAAGGGTACTTCGGTGTATATATGCTATATACATCTGAGGTAATAAACCCGTGAACCGAAACACAGTACGTTACAAACGTGGCTGGAAGTGGCCCTTGTCGACTATATTTCCTTAATGGCTCTATATAAAGTAATGGACCGACATAAAACAGCCTTGTGAAAATATGCTTAATGTTTATAATATACGAGTGTTCTCAATAACAATGAAACTATATCATGTGTCTCCAATCATAAATCCCATTCATAAAACCCTCCCAGACTAACGTGTTATAACCGTCCACAAACATCTTCAGCAAGCAACAGAACAAGCACCTGTTTGTTTTACTAAAGAAGGACCCTGGTCAGCTGTTGACGCTTCTGACGGGAGGTCCTATACAGTGCGAGACAGATACCTATGATCAAATTCATATTCTGTGTACATAGGCTCGGTGTCGAGGCTTGGCAAGCGCCCGTCGCCGATACTTCGCATAACGGATGAGTTGGGTGGCGATGGGCACTGATAATGCTTGAGCAATGAATAGAGGGGGTCTCAGCAATGTTTATCGTCTCCTTGTCTGACCACCGTTTTGTGGTCATTGCTAAGCTGATTATGGATGGTTTGACTTGGGGAAAGTGTGCGTCTCAGAATAGGATGGGATCACATTTCGTCTTGCATTGCGAACTCTGGTCAACATTGCATGTTTTCTATCTCAGATAAACATTCTTTTATTCGCGGACTACTTGTAAACTGAAGCCATTTCCGGCAGCCGGCTATTAGAAAACAAAGCCTGGAGATTTCACATAGATAACATCATTCACAGTTTGCCATGACATTCAGGCAAAGGTTCGCTCACAACAGCTAAGAGAATGGTTCAAATGAATCGCTTCTTTATAACTCAGTGCTTCAAATGTGTTTTCTTCCTGTGCAAAACAGAATGACAAATTGTTTTAGTGTAAACCTTGGCCCTTCAAAGAATAGTATGAAAACATGTTGATTTTGATAAATATTATCGAACTTTGCTTAAGTAAATGTTGACCCGATAGGATTTGATGTGTTTAACAATACTGGGAAAATGTTACGTGTGTTTTAACTCTGCACCAACTCTTCACCATGATGTGAGTGAGTGAGTGAGTTTAGTTTTACGCCGCATTGCGGCGGTCTGTAAATAATCGAGTCTGGACCAGACAATCCAGTGATCAACAGCATGAGCATCGATCTGCGCAATTGGGAACCGATGACATGTGTCAACCAAGTCAGCGAAACTGACCACCCGATCCCGTTAGTCGCCTCTTACGACAAGATAGTCGCCTTTTTTATGGCAAGCACATGGGTTGCTGAAGACCTATTCTACCCCGGATCTTCACGGGTCTCACCATGATGTAATATCAATGACACAACAATTCAGCTTATCGGCTCAATATCACCTATTCATTATCTGGGGCACTGGTCCGCGGCAAAGGACACTGGTTTCCTCAGTGGAATGCGCAAACGCTGGATGGCTACAGAAGCTGTCAAACGATGTTTTAACCTGAGGCAGACCTACCGACCCAGTGACAGGTAACCATACGCCCCCTGGGGGTGACGGGTCACGGGCCACGTTCCCCCGGGGTGTTGACTGATAGACTTCCTACCCGATAACCCGACCCCCTGGGCAAATAGGTGCTGGGTTACCAGTGAGAATCAGCAAATATTGTGACCAGTAATTTGATTGACAGGTATATATAAATAGTATGAGCAACTCAGGTCGACCTTGATGGTGTACTCATAATATTATTTTTTTCTGAATTCACATTATCCCGCGCAAACAGCAGTGTCTGAATTCGACTTGCTCGGGCATCTTATATATCCTGATGGCAGAAAAAGCCAAACAAAACAAAAGAAAGAAAATGGACAGATTTAGCAGCTGAATTTCATATGAGAGAAACACACAGTTCTTTATACTACTTTGTCAAAAGGAGTAAATAGTGAGTGAGTGAGTGAATATGCTTTTACGCCGCATTTAGAAATAATCCAGCAATACCATGGGGGAAACCAGGAATGGACTGCACACATTGTACCCATGTGGGGAATCGAACCCGGATCTTCAGCGTGACAGGCGAACACTTTAACCACAAGGCTACCCCATCGCCCGTATTTTGTCAAACCAGAGAAATCGTTTCAAACGAGTGCTTCCCTTCAAGTTGGTTATCATGTTTCTATCAGGGCGGTAGGGACCCTAGTCTGTCTCACAGTCCCTGAACCATATTATTTTCCCCAATGCTTAGCCCTCCCTGCAATGCTAAAGCCCTAAATAAAGCAAGTCTAGATTTCCTCAGGTTCAGACCTGAATCTCTGGTCTCACTGGGGCTCCTTTTCAATTTAAATTGGTTAATGGCTACCATCACAATTATATATATTCAGGGACTAAACGTTAGTCTATAGGGACCCGTGAAGGTCTGGGTTAGAATGAACCTTCAGTAACCCATGCTTGTCGTGCGAGGCGACTAACGGGATCTGGTGGTCAGGCTCGCTGACCTGGTTGACATATGTCATCGGTTCCCATTTGCGCAGATCGATGCTCATGCTGTTGATCACTGGATTGTTTGGTCCAGACTCGATTATTTACAGACCGCTGCCATATAGCTGGAATATTGCTGAGTGCGGCGTAAAACTAAACTCACTCACTCACTCAGGGCCGTAGGTAGCCTTGTGGGAAAGGCATTCGAACAAAAAAAATATAAACATGGTAAACATGTCTGTCTTGTTTACCCTACACGGCTACAAACCCTGAAGTCAGGGACGCCAGAAGAAAAACGAATTTCCGAGGCTGTTAACTCGACCCGCATCGTGTACTCCAGCTAAGATACTTAGTGTTCAGGTTAAATATCAATTTTCAGGTAGAACTGTGAGTCATGATTTACTTGGGGATTTACTGCATTGACCTGATCGAGGAGCCTGAGTCATATCCGCTAATAATGTCAACAAGCCACTCGGTGACCGATCTGTGTCACTCTCATGCAGTCTCTTAAACTTCATTGCATCATGGGGGTTCTAATATTCATATGAAGACATGTCAGATTTATGACTCTGTAATGTGATGGTCGCTGTACGGGAGATACACATACTTCACACGTAACTCGTAACTCGGTTAGTAAAGTTATTTGTAAAGTATCCTTACGCATGCACGTATGCATGAGCGTAAACACTTGTTGACATGTAACAGGGTCTATGGCGGAAGGTCTTCCGTTGGTCTGACCCGTGAAGATCCGGGTTAGAATAGGTCTTCAGCAACCCATTCTTGTCATAAAAGGCGACTATGCTTGTCGTAAAAGGCGACTAACGGGATCGGGTGGTCAGGCTCGCTGACTTGGTTGACACATGTCATCGGTTCCCAATTGCGCAGATCGATGCTCATGCTGTTGATCACTGGATTGTTTGGTCCAGACTCGATTATTTACAGACCGCCGCCATATAGCTGGAATATTGCTGAGCGCGGCGTAAAACTAAACTCACTCACTCACTCACTTCCGTTGGCCTTGCTGGAGGAATATTGGGGCGGTGGGGTGGCCTAGTGGTTAATGCGTTCGCTCGTCACGCCGAAGACCCGGGTTCCATTCTCCACATGAGTACAATACTGAAGGCTATTTCTGGTGTCCCCCGCCGTGATATTGCTGTAATGTTGCTACAAGGCTGTGGATAGGGGATGGTGCTCAGTTGGTTTCGTCTGAGGAGTGTCATGCAATAGACCTAGTCTAATGGTTTAGTGGAATGGAATCTTCACACAGTATGATGGCCAGCTGTCAACATCATATTGGTGGAATATTGCTCAAAGCGCCTAAGTTCCACCACCAGCACTAAGGTAGCCTAGTGGATAAAGTGTTCGCTCGTTACAACGAAGACCCAGGTTCGATTCCCTACATGGGTGCAATGTATGAAGCTCATTTCTGGTGCCCTCCGCCGTGATGTTGCAGGAATATTTCTACAACCAGACACTAGTTTTAGTAGAGATTTCTCAGTATGGAAATATTTCAGAACCCTATCAGCTGACTTATATTTGGTGCACTATGAGTGTTCGTCTATACCGTGATGTACGGTTGCGTGTATTTGTAGGTAAAGACTAAAGGTGTTGTATAACAGTAGGGGCGACCCAATCCTACCCAGTAGGCTGTCTGTCATGCCTACTCCAGGATGGTCTTAAAGACTACTATTTGGGAGCTATTTGAGATGCTCGAGTTTCTACCTTGCCTGAACAGTCGTATCCGACACGGAGAACGACTATCGTTAATATTGTCACCCCACCGGTTACATGAGGGTAGGGGGTGACGCCGACGACCTCGGGACGTCATCTGATAGTCACTGGCTCCGTCTCGAGTAGATATGAATATATACAGGAGTATAATGTGAGGAGAAACTACTTACAGACGCTCCATGCTGACCAGATCTACAAACGCCCCCTTCTCGATCAGACGTATCTTGTTGTCCAATAGTTGCCTGTGGATAAAAATATTCTGTTCACAAAAGGTGGTCAACAGCTTTTGGATGCACACGAGGTGCTGTATATGTTAAGCTGAATGACATGGTCTTCCGAGTTGACAGGACGTAACTTTATTGATGAAACAAAATAGTCCCTGCATTGACAACAGTGGATGAAGGTTCACAACAGGCTCCATAGCCCGAAGCTTACTATATAAAAAGTAATAATTTAAGTTTATATGTTCAGTTGAAAGCGTATTTATATGTTCAGGTACATTTTGTGTCCTTGAAGTACATAGGATAATCTTTGAGAAAACCTCTTTCAAAAACTTTACATTTTTCAAAAGCGTATCTAATGATTACACTATAGGTACAAATAGTGATTTTGAAGGTATCAAGGATAATTTCTTTACAAAACATTGCTTTTTTACTAAACAGGGCTTGCATGGATCGATGCTCATGACGTCAATCACTGGATTGTTTGGTCCAGACTCGATTATTTACAGACCGCTATCACATATCTGAACTATTACTGAGTGCTGCCTCTCACAACCAATAGTCAACCAAAACGGAAGATAACAATGTTACGAAATTCTGCTGTTGATCACTGGATTGTCTGGTCCAGACTCGATTATTTACAGACCGCCGCCATATGGCTGGAATATTACTGAGTGCGGCGTAAAACTAAATTCACTCACTCACTCTCTCACTGGGACACGTTTTGGAGAACATAGGGTTTGATAACCGCTTTGTCAGTTATTCCAGCTTCAATGGCCGTGACACATTTCACTGTCCCGGCCAAGCGACAGGTCTTTGACATCTCCGCAATAAACAACATATCCAGTTAGCGACGGATTCACGCGAAGCACGTGATGTACGTGTCATATCTGGAGGCCATTGGCATACTTCTACCCTAATCGATATCCGAGTGTTGAAAACACAACATTAACTCGCATCTATCTCGGTGTTATCACCTTCTAAGTGGTCGTTATTGTCGAGTATACTACAGTTGCTATAAGACAATAGAACAATGCGACCGGCTCGGCGATATATTGGCTCTGACGATATATGACTATATTGCGTATATCGTAACGTCTTCATCAGGTCGGGAACTTCGAGTGGGTGACGACGTCATATAACAATACATCTTGATTCAATTGTTTTGTATTTCATTGTTAAATAACATTGGATGATAACATTAAAGGTTCTGAAGGGTTGGAGAGACGGAGGTAAGTACTTTACGCCAAAAAATGAAATATAGTTCATACACACGGGTTAAACGTTAAATTCCCATAGCAGATTTGTAGAAAGTTACTTTATTTTTTTTTTATAGAGATATTTATTTATATTTCAATTATCATTATTATTTTATTATTCCTCGCGTGTGTGTGTGTGTGTGTGTGTGTGTGTGTGTGAACAGTGCCAGTTAATTAATCATTTAAAGAGATAGTATTTTCTACGATCTCACTCAGATATTCACTTTTCAACGAGGACAACGTTTATACAGAAATATCATCAGCTTTATGAGTGACATTGAACCGACCTGCATCCTGGTGCTATGACCTTAGTTACTGTCGTCGTCGTCAGAGCCAGTACTGGAAGCACGCACTACGGAAATATCTTATTTTCAACATGTACATACAGTGCAGCGACTGGAATGACCTATATTTGCGTTTCCTAAACCGTTTATACAGCACTGAAAGCACTGGTTGTGCACCTGTAGCGGAATACTTACAGTATCCTGAGTTTTTTCATCCCTGCGAAGTCCGATCTTCGTAAAACCGTTAGGTTGTTTCCTTGTAAATCCCTGCGGAGAAGAAAACAGAAGAGTTATACAACCATTCGGACTTCCACACTCCCATTTTACTACAACACACTTATTACTGCATTCAACGCTACCAATTGCAGCTCACGCCGAAGACCCGGGTTCGATTCCCCACATGGGCACAATGTGTTAAGCCCATTTCCGGTGTCCCCCGCCGTGATATTGCTGGAATATTGCTAAAAGCGGCGTAAAACTAAACTCAGTCAGTCAGTCAGTCCAATTGCAGCACGCCGAAGATCCGGGTTCGAATCCCCACATGGGTACAATGTGTGAAGCCCATTTCTGGTGTCCCCCGCCGTGATGTTGCTGGAATATTGCTAAAAGCGGCGTAAAACCAAACTCAGTCAGTCAGTCCAATTGCAGCATTCAAGGACCATTTGTTACTAAATTCAACAACCACCCAATACTGCATTTAACAAACGCTCAATACATTCTATATTGCATTCAACAACCGCTCAATACTGCATTCAACAACACGGTACTGTATTCAACAATCACTCTGTACTGCATTCAACAACCATTCGAAAGTGCATTCAACAACACGGCATTGCATTCAACAACCACTCAATACATTCAATACTGCATTCAACAACCACTCAATACTGCATTCAACAACATGGCATTCCATTCAACAACCACTCAATACATTCAATACTGCATTCAACAACCACTCAATACATTCAATACTGCATTCAACAACCACTCAATACTGCATTCAACAACATGGCATTCCATTCAACAACCGTTCAATACATTCAATACTGCATTCAACAACCGCTCAATACATTCAATACTGCATTCAACAACCGCTCAATACATTCAATACTGCATTCAACAACCACTCAATACATTCAATACTGCATTCAACAACCGCTCAATACATTCAATACTAAATTCAACAACCGCTCAATACATTCAATACTGCATTCAACAACCGCTCAATACATTCAATACTGCATTCAACAACCACTCAATACTGCATTCAACAACATGGCATTCCATTCAACAACCGTTCAATACATTCAATACTGCATTCAACAACCGCTCAATACATTCAATACTGCATTCAACAACCGCTCAATACATTCAATACTGCATTCAACAACCGCTCAATACATTCAATACTAAATTAAACAACCGCTCAATACATTCAATACTGCATTCAACAACCGCTCAATACATTCAATACTAAATTCAACAACCACTCAATACATTCAATACTGTATTCAACAACCACTCAATACATTCAATACTGCATTCAACAACCGCTCAATACATTCAATACTGCATTCAACAACCGCTCAATACATTAAATACTGCTTTCAACAACCACTCAATACATTCAATACTGTATTCAACAACCGCTCAATACATTCAATACTGCATTCAACAACCGCTCAATACATTCAATACTGCATTCAACAACACGGCAATGCATTCAACAACACGGTACTGCATTCAACAATCACTCGCTACAGCATTCAACAACACGGTAATGCATTCAACAACACGGTACTGCATTCAACAATCACTCGCTACAGCATTCAACAACACGGTACTGCATTCAACAACACGGTACTGCCTTCAACAATCACTTTATACTGCATTCAACAACCACTCTAAACTGCATTCAGTGACCACTGGCTACTGCATCTAACCATGCATTAGAATATTCAACAACAGCTTCAGCAACAATACCAGTACTTCAATAACCAGCCATTACAAAGCTGCATTCAACACCCGTTACTGCATTCAACACCAACCAACCAATACCTGGTAGTTTAGCGACTTTCCCCACTACATATTCACATGGAGCATGCACGATTTGTGTGTAGCGCTCAACGGTCGTAATTCTATGTACAGAAGGCAAGTTACGATCTCTTTAGCGCTACGATCGTTTAGTGGAGCGAACCCCTGAGACGCAAGCGGCAGCGCGAGTCGAAGTGATACGAGCAATGTGTTTTGGGTGAGCACTGAATACCATACAGCCTTTCAGTTTGGGGCAACTGTTACAGGGGCAACCATTCTTTCTTGGTGCAACTTTAACTGTCCCGCGAAAAATGAAATGGATCGGGGTATGCGCTATTGGTTCAATGAACCGGCATTTCAGGACAACCGTTGGCTCTGGCACCTCTTTTGGATTAGGCCAAGCTCGAGCTCAACGTATGTTTCCAGACAGCCATTAATGGTTCCATACAACGCCTGTTTGACCAGGACCAACCATTAGTGGCTCACTGAAACCTTTATCATATCAGAACAACCTCCAATGAGTCACTGGTACCCATATAGGAACGGGCCAGTGCCAGTATATTAGACCAGTTCAGTCGTCAGTCGATACCGGTTCGGTTACAATGTAGACTAAAACCATTGCGTACCCGTGAAGATCCAGGTTAGAATTGATCTTCAGTAACCCATTCTTGTCGTAAGAGACGATTAACGGGATCGCGTGATCAGGCTCGCTGACTTGGTTGACACATGTCATCGTATCCCAATTGCGTAGATCGATGTTCAAGCTGTTGATCACTGGATTGTATGGTCCAGACTCGATTATTTACAGATCGCTGCCATATAGCTGGAATATTGCTGAGTGCGGCAACCAACCAGCCAACCAACCTACCAACAACCATTCAGTGGAGCCAGTAGTGAGACCATGAAAAAACATATCCAAGAAAGCCCACGCAAGTCTAAAATATGTGGCAAGTCTAGATTACCACTGTTTCAGGGAATGAAGAAAGTCTCCCGGCTCCTTTCATTTTATTTTTTTATTATCATTTTGGAACATTTCATTTTTTTAAAAATGTTCATTTCACAGACTAGTATTAGTCCATGCTGCTAGTTAATGTACAGGGCAACCGTTGTCTCATTGGGGCACAAAGCTCTGCTACGCAGCCTTCACACAATCCAGAAATTATGATTGAACTTCTAATGTATTGCCTTAGAGACGTGTTTAAGTCTACTTTAACAGGCAGGATCGCAAGTGAACCAGAATCGTTTCTATCTTCTCATTTCCCGGCAGTATTTCCCCAGAGGGATAATTAACATTACAATTCTTATTTCAAGTGACCGAAACGAACTTCAAGAGCACGAGACCCTTAGCCTCTAAAGCATTACGCGTTTCCTTTCTACTACTCACAAATCACACTTTGAGTTTCGTTGTTTTAAAATTCGCCAGATTCCTGCACTCTAAAACCGAGATTCCGATAACCCTCTTCAAAAACTGAAATCGTGTGAACTTAAACTGTATTTTGGAGCAAATAATCGGTTCTATCTATTCACTTGGAAATGAATATCTTAATCGCTTACAACTTAAACGTAATCATTATGCATTTGCAATTTTGCCAGATGGAGTACCCAATCACATTAACAGTATCCGATGTTGCACTGGTTAGTGGAGAGTGCTGGGGAGAGTTGAGTGTCAACGTTGACATTTCGCCGAACACAAATGTACGCGACACAATCACATTGTGTCCTCATTGTGTCCTGTAGCACGTTCCACGATACATGCTGCATAGAACGCGCCCCTTTAAACACAGTGTACGTATCTGTCGATGCGTCTCTGAGACAGAGAACGAGCCCAGTCTCCTTTATACCAATAGGAATAGGTCACCAACGCCAACGCCAAGATGCCAGGTTCAATTGTGGATCGGGTGGTTAAACTAAGTATCAATGCTATTAATTTTCATCGCAGTCCAAAGGCAAGGGTCTGTGCTCATGATATCGATCACCGGTTTATCTGGCCCGGGTTTGAACTCGGTGTATCATTTCTATTACAATTCGATGTAGGGCCACGTCGTTTCGAGTAGCTATTGGATACACTGACAGGCGCCCTAACGATCTACATGGAAAAACAGCTGTCTTGATCTACAATGTCTGTTCTGGTCTTTCAAGAAACCCGTTAAGATGCCACGAGCAAAATAAACACTTTTCAACACGGGTCATCTGCGCCATTCAAAATGTCAGTCAATAAATAATAATGGGGCAGTGAACGCTTACGTTTTTCTTCATCAGTCCTTGCTCTGTGTAGCTTAGTGGTTAGAGCGTTGGCTTGTCAAGCTTAAGGGTTCGACTTCCAACATTTGTGAAATCCCTTCTTCATATCACAGAGGCGTAGGAATAATAGTGATTAAAGCGTTCGCTCGTCACGCCGAAGACCCGGGTTCGATTCCCCACATGGGTACAGAGTGAAGCTCATTTCTGGTGTCCCCTGTCGTGATATTGCCGGAATATTGCTAAAAACGGCGCAAAACCAAACTCACTCAGTCAGTTCTTGGTATCACAGCCTGAGATAGGGATATTGCTAAACAGTACAACGCCGTACACTCCCATCGTCCAATGTCTGGTTGGTCGGATTTAAATTGTTGAAATATGCTTCTCATATACATCGTTGATCAGGGGCTCCTTTCACGAAGCAACTGAGTTTACTGACTGAGTTTAGTTTTGACGCCGCTTTTAGCAATATTCCAGCAATATCACGGCGGGGGACACCAGAAATGGGCTTAACACATTGTGCCCATGTGGGGAATCGAACCCGGGTCTTCGGCGTGACGAGCCAACGCTTTAACCACTAGGCTACCCCACCGCCCCCGAAGCAACCTTTACTAAGGTTAACCTTAACTCCCATTCTTTAACACTGCACTAAGGTTACCTTAGTGACTTACGATCACCTTAGTGCTTCGTGAAAGGGGCCACTGGTATAATATACACCATCACACAATTTGGGCGATGCGACACGAGGATAAAAGAAAAATAATAACACCGAAAAAACACTTCCAATGAAACAGTTGTCTGTTTATCCCTGAATATCTGAAGCATGGTGTGTGACCTTTCAGTGAAAGAAAAATAAAAAATACTGGCCCTCAACGCCGTGGATGACAGCCCGGTTAATAGCGGTCTGTTTTACAATGCCGGTTTGTAAATCAAATTCACACTCTCACATCGATAGCTGTCATCCTTGTCAAATACTAAATTATTACAAGTGATCG